CAAGAGAAAAACTAGTAGCAGAAGGTTGAAAATTTGTGATTAATGATGAGCATGAGCTTCAATGAGAGAAAAATGATGCCAAATCTTTGTTTTAAGAGAGATAATTGGTGGATATAGAGGGTAAGGTTGAATTAAATAAAAAAAAAAAAAAAAGGTCGTACCCAGTGCACAAGGCTCCCGCTTTACACAGGGTCTGGGAGAGGTGAATGTCGGCTAGCCTTACCCCCATTTATGGAGAGGCTGCTCCCAATAAGGTTGAATTAAATAATTAAGAAATTTTTATTTCACAGAAAAAATAAAATAAATGCAAAGGTTAACTATTGTCTGTGTTTTGACATATGACATAATCCTTGTGGGAATTTTTCAGATAAATCCCCAAAATGCTGTGCTATGATATTTCATTGCATCGTAACTTATTTTAATTATCATGCAGCTATGTTCTTCCAGATTATCATCCTCTATTGCAGACTGTAAGTCTTTTACTATTCTTTTCCTGTGCAAAAGTGTTTTCAGCTGCGTAGTGGTATGTAGACCTCTCATAATTTTAATGTCACAGCTAGAAAACAGAGATCCCGATGATCCAAGCCAATACCTTCTTGCTATATGGCCATCAGGTACTACATGACTGGAGCAAACAATTTATATAACTGCAATGTGTTTATATGTGAAAGATTCGTGTTTTCAAAAGTCCAAGGACTGTGAGGTCTAAAAGTTAGAGCGTCCCAACTTGAAAATAAGATTCAATGTTGGAATATGTGCTAATCAAATTATGTGGAAATGTGATTATCAGATGAAAAACGATGCGATCCTCGGGAGTCCAGAGAATTGAGCAATATTGTGGAGCCATGTTTTTCACTTAATAATCATTCACAAGCAGCTTCACAAATGGTTCGTGGAACACTTTTGGTGAGTAAAACTCAGGGTGCACAAACTCTTCTACATTCTTTTAAAGTCCCAACTTGCAGTAAGTACGTTAGACAATTATGGAGAATGACATAACATAAAATGATGCATAAACAGATACCGTGTCGAACTGCAACAAGGGGGAGCTTTCCACTCAACGGAACATACTTTCAAGTGAATGAGGTGAGTTTACTCAAAATTTCTCCAATAATGTTTTTTTTTTTTTGTCAGCATATACTGTCAGGTATTTTAGATCAAGCTACCATACTAGAAGTAGAACACATGTATATATCATCTCCTTGCAGATATTTGCTGACCATGAAACCAGTATACGCCCGATTGAAGTTCCTAGATCAAGCTTATGGAGTCTAGCTAGGTTAACTGTATACTGTGGGACCTCAACATCTTCAATCCTTAAAGGTAAACAAACCTTCAGTCGCCTTCAGTCTGGCATGTTATGCTGCTAGATCATCAAATGACACGGTTGATATGGTGAATCGTGTCTTGGTGAAGACCAAACTCTATATATAGAGAGTGAAACAAGCATCTCAATAATGTCTTCTTATTGCAGGGTTACCATTGAACGAAATCAAGGACTGCTTTGTGAAAGGTTTGTAACTTCTGCCCCTGCTACTACTTAATATTTACATCATCGATTTCGTATGAGAAATCCATGGTTTTTCATAGAAGTAGCAATGACAACCTAGATAGTTTGCATCACCATAAGTCAGATTAGTATGGGAAAAAAAAGAATTAAAATGAAAGAAATAACTAAAAGATTTATGGGTTCAAACTGTGGAATAGAACGAAGCATGATAATACAAATTGTCATAGAAAAATTAAAAAGAGTAACGAGAATAACCAAATAACATATTTCAAATTGTGCATGTTTGATGAAACAGTCTTGCTCGTAATCTTCACGCATCTTGATAATTGGAGGGAAAAAGAGCGATTAAGTATGATATTTGTCGAATGTGAACTATTGTCTTAATGGTATAACTTGAAAACTGAAGTTGCAAACATGAAATTATCTTTTAATTTAGTTGCATCTATGTGCATCTTACAACAAACTACTTTACTAAGAAAATTTGTAAGGAAGAAAATACAAAAGCGATCTGATCTGGCCTGCAAGCATATAGCCATCTCATGTTACGATATGAAATTTAACAATAGTACTAAATTATCTTGAACTTTTTCCTTTCAGGTTTTATCTGTGTCCGAGCCTTTAACCGGAAAACACGCACTCCTGAAGAACTTTCAGAGAGATTCCACGTTTCAACAACTAAGAAGGGAGGCAAGGGAGGCAAGGGAGGCAAGAAGAACAAAAAAAAAGGATGAGTTGTGAATCGGAGGAGATGATGATGCAAACACTAGATGATAAAAATATTCTTAAAATGTGCAGTTTCGTACACACAAACTAATTATAATTCTTTTCGTCAAATTTGGATGCATAAAGTAGATTTCCAATTTAGCGGAATCTAAACATTTATCAACAATTGCCTTTGAAGCCTCTAATGAGAAAGAAAGAGACGTCATATAAGTAGGTTTTTTCTGACAAAATAAATATATGTGCCATCTTTTGCACAATATGAGCATGTAATTTTTTTAGGGGAGCATTTTGCTCACCACCATAATTATAGTATATGCTCATCATACAACTAATTATCTGTCACGTGTTATTTTACTTAACTCTAATTAACTTTCATATTAAATTTTTTTTTTTTGAAAAAAATTAATTAAGATTAAGTGAAATGACACGTGTCAAATGATTAGGTGTATAGTGAGCATACACCATAATTTATGGTAGTGAGCAAAAAATGCACCCATTTTTAGTGTTGAGAGAAGATTTTTTTTTTACACAAACGATTTTAGGGGAGGGAGACTTAAGCTGAAACTTGGAATTCATGGGTGAACGTTTTTATCGTACTAAGCTATATAAGTCCTTTGCAAAATCTCTATCTTGTTTAGGATTTAATTGTAGAACTCCAAACTGGATGATACCACCCTTGAATTATTGGTCGAGCATTTAGATTGTAGAAACAAAAAATTGTCAAGGAGAAGAGAGGATTTGAATGCCTTGGTGCCACTTTGATTGGCGTGAATTGGAGCTAAAAAGTTCAACGAAAAGAACGAAAATTTTAAGGCTGATTACTTTGTATTATTAAAGTCTAGATAGAAAATATGTTTCCGAATTGAAGAACCTCCAATTGCTGGACAGGCAGGAAGTCACTACCCTCCTCTAATACAGAATTTTTGAAAGAAAAAAGCACTGAGGAAGACCACTTTAGCAGCAATAGTAACACAAAAAAAGCATTCAATTATTTTTCGATTTTTTTTTTATTTTTTTATCAAGGCACTAATCATATCTGATAATTGAATTATACATACAATATATATAGGGGCGAATCCATGACATCATTTTTTTTACACAATTTTTTATACAAGTTTTTGTGAGGACCCCTCCATAATGTATGTCAACGTTCAAGCTGTCTATCTTTTAGGTTTTCTCTCAAAGATCATGTTTACAAAAAATCACCTAAATCTGAAATCATACGAGTATTGGATTAAGGGTTTAGGGTTTCTTTGTGAGAGCGTATTCGTGTATTTTCTTCACTACAAATGAATGTCTTAATGGTTTTGTAATGTCCAATTTTTTGTAAGAATGATCTATGAATGATGAACTAAAAGATAAACTGTTCAAATTGTTGGAAATACATTACGGATGGTACCTCACAAAAACTTGTGTCAAAAGTTATGTAAAAAAATAGTGTCACGGATTCATATATATATATATATATATAAATCATCACTTCTTTTTAAAAGTTCGCTCTATTCAAGGATGAAAATATTCGCTGATACACTGATATTTTCATGAGATATTGATTGGGTGGAGAATATTAAAGGTATTCTTTACCACAGGAAAGAACACTAAAAAATATAGAATTTTGAAATAACAGAAACGCAGTGCATTAATAAAGACAATATAAAAATGTGTCTCACCCACAAAAACCCCATAACTTAAAAACTTTCAGTCAGTGGATATGCCTTCCAGAATAGGAGGAGGTCCGACATTTCAAGTGGTGATATTGTAATTTAATATAAGTGATAGAATACTTGGGGAAATGAAACACCTGATTTAAACATTGAGACCGATCCAGATCATTCAATATCATGAGGCATTGTTGCCATCGATATTGGATGGTTGAAAATTATTAAGACTTCAAATACATAATTCATTTTCTAACTTTGCAATTTACTTTACCTATCTTCAAGAATATACACATACAGATGTTGGATTCTATATTGCAATGTACTATCTAGTGTTGGACCAAAACAATTGGGAAGGTGACCACTTTGTCTTTAATATTCTATCAATTAAATAATGCAGTGTCTAGCTAGTTTCTCCTTAGTGGAAACTTTATTAGCAGATATTAAAATCAGCAGTTTGCTTCTGTGAGCACATATATAATGTATTAAGTGCCACCAAAGTAGCTACCGGAACTCAACCGACAACCAAACCAGTTGAAGAGAGAATTAAGAGCTTCCACAATGCCTTCACGTGAGCTTTCGGACTACAAGTTGTCAAAATCTTGTTTACTTCCCAACTGTGTCTAAATTTACTCAGCCTAAACTTCCTAACTCCTTACCTGTTTGCAAATTAATTGGAAAGTTTATTTAATGCCATGTCCCAAAATCACCTACCAATTGTAAGTTTTCATGGCTTATGATGTAACACGTAATCTCAGAAGTAGCACAAGCAATATAGAAAAATTGGGATCAATCCAACACATACCTCGAGTGTGTGCCCGTGAATATTCTTAAGCAACTAATGTACAAGTTATTTATAAAACGGTTGAAACTAATTCTTATACAACTGTTTCTAGTGCGGAAGGCTTTACTAGATTCCCTACCCTATCATTAAAAAAAATGATAATATAGACTATAGTTAAGGGTTGTATACAACAACAACAAAACATTTTTTCACTAAGTGTGAATGTGACTTCATTTGTTTTAGAGCACTTATTTTGTGTACTTTGTAAAAAAAAAAGACTCATTGGGAGTTTGAGGACACACTTATACAATTAAATATCCTTATCTACTTTAGATGTAACTGTTGCATTATGTTAAAAGGAGGATATATCTCTCCAATCTGATAATTAGCTTTCCAAATGTCTCCTAATAAAGGAGATTATGAAAATAACAAGAAATGAATTATTGAGTTGAAAATATGAGGAGTATCAAGGCTTATGGTGCTGTGTGTAGATGTAGTCCAAGTGAGCTTCTGCCATTATCCTTCTCTTTGAACAGTCCTCATCTCCATCAACACAATCCTCCACCCCCATAAGCTGCTACAATATAAAAATACATCCCAACAGAAAAGCAGTATAAGACATATATAGTATCTACTTGATTAATTACTCTAGCTAGGGTTAGAAAAAGAATAACAAGAAGAAGAAGAAAAAAGAAAATAACATAAACATACATTCATTAGTTCACTGCCTTTCAATTCTACAAGTGAACCCCCATTAACCATTTCATTGAGCTTCACCTTCTCTTGTCCTGTAAAGATGCCGAAGATTTATATATTGCTAAAAATAAGAAGGGAAGTTAATGAATAATAACTTCTCTTTTACAAAATAACAGGAAGAAGGATTCAAATTTCAGATCTTTTTTCATTGAAGTAATAAAATACACTACTTCCAAATTAATAGCTAGTTGGTATAACAGCACAAGTTTTTACCTTCTTTGTACACTAAGAGACGGATCGATAATGTTGAGGAAAAAAGGATGAAAAATATGGAGAGAACAACGACAGCGCCTGATTTGAAGCTTTGCTTCATGGCTTCGAATTCAAATATGTGAGAGAGAGAGAGAGAGAGAGAAGCTTAAAGTTTGGAACCTGAGGTGGTGGAAAAAAGGAAAACGAGAGAGAGAGAGAGAGAGAGAGAGAGAGAAGCTTAAAGTTTGGAACCTGAGGTGGTGGAAAAAAGGAAAACGAGGATGGAGGAAACTATACATGCCAAAAAGAATGCAGCAGGCACTCACTCAGCTTCTGTAAGTCAAATAATGTCACATTTACGTATCCGTAATCGGAAACAAAACACGGGATTAAATTCTGATTACGGAACACTCCCTTGTTTACCTAACTTGGAGGAATCAAAATTTATGTGGGTCCCATCCTAATTCTGGAATACAACTGCTGCTTTTGGAGGGTTTGAATTCCCTGCATGAGGGAGGGATTTGTATTCCAGGAGAAGTGGGTAATCGGAATAGATTTATTTTACCAATTGTGTCCTCAGTTGGTTTTTATTATTCCAACATGGCCCTTCATCTCACCAGAGAGACATTGTCCAGCGCCCAATATTGCCCAGCTCTGCAAATTTTTCATCTCCTCACCACTGCACCCTCCCCCGCCCAGGGCCACATCTCATACCACTGTAACCACTCCCGACCATCTCTTTCTATTTGTCTCTAGAGAATTTTGGAAGAGAACAATGGAATTGAGAGAGAGAGTTACGGTGTGGTGGTGGCTTAGTTCTTTATCAGGAGTTGCCATTGCACTGGAGAGAGTTTTACGGTGGTGGAATAGAGAGACGGTGATGGCGGAGGAATAGAGAGAGAGAGAGGGAGAGTGCTATGCTAACAGATGTGTTTGGCTAATTTTTTCTTTCTCTTAATAAAAATTAATTAATGTTTTCTCTTGATTAGACTATAAAATAATTATTTACTAATAAAAAAGAGATTATAAATAATTTATGCGAAATACATAGGTAAAAATGAATTATACTAATTAAAGTTTAATTATATTACGAATAATTTAAGTAGTAACAAAATAATGGAAAAAAAATTAGACCATAAATAATTTTTTATGAAAAAGTGTGTTTTAGTAATTATATTAAATTTAGATATTAAAGTAAATACTTAAATTTATAAAAAAAATTAACAAAATCATTTTAGTGTGTCTATGAAATAAAAAATTAATTTATTTTTTCTTACTATTATATACTATATCAAATTTTATTGAAAAAGGTATATAAAATATTTGATTTGGGACAAGAGCATTTTAGTAATCATATTGATTTATATTCTGATTCTGCTCAATTAGTAAATAACTTTATGAAATTCTATTCCGATTCCAGATAGTTTTAATAAACAATTTCAACATAAATCTAATTCTGATTCCGTCTCATTTCAATTCTTCCTCAATCCAATTCATTCTCAACTTAATTCTTCTCAATTTAATTACGGATTAATAAACAATGCATGCAATTGCAATACCTGTTAACGTGGGGCCAAACAGCACCATCTTCATATTTTACTGTACTCCATGCTTTTGCGTCCTCTCCCCTCCACTACTTTTGATATATGATATATATCATGTACATATATATATATATATATATATATATTGACCAAAAAAAAATAAAAAATAAAATAAAATAAAATAAAATAAAAATATATATATATATATATATATACAGAGAGCTTAAGGGGAGGGATCCCTATTTTTTGAAAAAAATAGGGATTAGGTGTGGGGCCCACTCCACATCGAATTTCAACGATCCGAACCGTCTATTTTGTTAGTCTCGATTCATAGATCATCCTTGCAAAATATTAACTAAATTGGAAATGTTTAAGACATCTAATTGGGTTCAAAGAAATGAACGAATACTTTGTTATATAAGAAAATATGAAATTTGATATTGATAATTAAATAGGCAAATGGTTTCGGATTGAATTGAATTTTTGCAAGGATGATCTATGAATCAAGACTAACAAAATAGACGGTTCGGATCGTTGAAATTTGATGTGAAGTGGCCCCAACACCTAATTCTCATTTTTTTCAAAAAATAGGGATCCCTCCCTTTAAGCTCTCCCTATGTATATATATATGTGTGTGTGTCTTGAGAGAGAGAGAGGGAAAGGGCTTTGTTGCTGGTTTGGTTATTGTCCATATATTTGTCCGCCATATAGTGGTCCAAAAGAGTCCAAACACGCTGCAGAAATCAATAATATACTGATTGACAGTATGAACAAGTCAACCTTTTGACAGTGTCAACAATAATATGTGTCAGCGTACAATATCAAATATGTGTCAGCGCACAATTTTATCACAACTTTGTTTAATGTGTTCTAGTCTTCTATTTCACCTAAGATAAGATGCCTAAGATGGTACATTAACAATCGAGACCGTTGATCTCTTTGATTATGTGATTTACATTCCGAACCGAACAATAATTAGGGTATTGAACAAGTTCATTTTGTATTTGAGATACACCAGTCGACAACATATATAAGTATATTTATTTAGCAACATCAGCATCATCTTGGGAACATTTGAATTTGTATAAGTATTATAAAGACCATTACCCTATTTAGAACAATCTAATATATATATATATATGTGTGTGTGTACGTGTGAATCTAGATTTTGTTTATTCTACAAATCAGATTCATAGTTTAACAACAAAATATACATTTTGACTTAAGTATTTGTATAGTATTAACACAAAAAATAACTATGAGAAAGTGTTAGGGTTTGCATATGCTTAAGGTTCTAAACATAATTTTACAATAGTACTATACACACACCTTTTTTTTTTTACTTTCCAAACACAATTTTTAATTTACAGCTATCAAATCGAATTAATTGAAGATGATAAAAAAACAAACATTAATAGAAAATGTGTGGAAGATAAAAAAAAATATATGAATAGCACCTCTTTAATTTTGTTATTATAATGTAAATTTGATTTACTAAATCAACATGACCAATGACTTAGATTATGAGAAAAAAAATCAAATATATATGCATGCGGATATATTGAACCATTTGGTCAGTCACTACGAGGTCAATGTCTTTTGGCAATGGTGGGGTGCACACGAATTCTTGAGTTTGAAGATGTGTCTTATTTCTTCTCAATAAAGAATGGTTAATATAAATAGTAAAAAGGAGATTATGCTTTTCTTTTTTGAAGATTTGAATACCAAAGTTTGAAACCAAATTTTGCAGATCGCATAATGTAATTGTTGATAATTAGATTATTATTTAAGTGTTGATTAATATGTTTATTTTTTATTGGTGATACGTCATATAGTTTGCAAATTTAATAAAAAAATTTGGTCTACACATTACTCTTTGTTGAAGGTTAGACTTGAATTGGAATGAATGTCTAAAACTGCAACCCACATAGCTATTAGCTAGTAGTTAAAAAAATTAACAACCAAACAGAAATTCGTAAAAATTGAAAACAATAAAAAAAAACACATAGCATTTCAAACTCAAGACCTTTCGTTAATTTTAAACAACAAAAACCATTTATTCTATTAAACCTCTTGATCATTTAACCAAATTTATAAATTTATACACTTATGAAAAGAAAATTGGAAAGTGAAAAAACAAAAATAGCATTTTGAACTCAGGACATTCTCGTTAATTTAACAAGCATAAACCACCACATTTGGATGAACTTCTTGATCATTTGACCAAAATTTTTAAATTTATACTCTTATGAAGAAAAAAATTCGTAATAGTAGAAAGTAAATAAACACACATAGCGTTTTGAACCCAAGACATCCTTGTTAATTTTCAATAACAAAAACCACTACTTCTAATTAAACTTCATGTTCACTTAAGCAAATTTTATAAATTTATACTCTTATGGAAACATATATGAATATAACATATAACCCTTAGGACATGCAATCCGTATGTGGCATTCAAATCGAATGTGGACATGCCTGACTCATTAAGTTTCATGAAAACCCTTTAAAAAAACCATACAACCCTTAAGGTGTGGTATTCACCCTAAGTGAACTTCCAATTATTAACCACAAGAAGTATTACTCAATTTTCAGGGTGACGCTCCAATAGAAATTGCATCTGATTACTTATATAAACAACCTAATGGTTGCGAAGCATTAAGACATAAAGACAGTTTAAACACAGAAATTAATAATTCAAAGTATACATGCATAATATCATAAGCAATTGAATAATACGTATTCAAGCTAAGACTCATGGTCTCGCCCTAGCAAAAGAAAGTTAGTTATGCATAATCATACAAAATATATTAAGAACATGGATAGAAAACACGTGATAAATAAACTTCAATCGTCAAAAGCTCTCTAAACCGAATTCTTCAAAGTAGTGTGTAGAGAACCCTAGTGTCTAGTTAGCCTTATTTACACTATTACAAAATAAAATCCTTCATGTTCTAAAATCTAGGAAACAAAATAAATTAAGAAAAACTAGGAAGCAATCTTCTAGTCAAACATGGAGAAACTGCAAGCAAACTAATCTGCCACGTTATGAACCTTCGATACCTCCAAAACAATCCAAAATTACTTTAAAAATTAAATTAAATTAAATTTAAAAAAAAAAAAAAACTTAAGATGTCATGAATATATTTCCAAAAGGGCTCATCGCCCAAAGACACCATACTGGACGTCAAAAAGTCCAAACAAGCCCAAAACATCACTTTGACAATATTGCACCCAGGTCCTTTATTTCATCGCTATAAATTAATAGTTAGGTAGAAAAATCTGAAACTTTGAAATGAGTAAGTTAAAAGGCTTACGAACATCCTTTAATTGGAATCATTCCAAAATTCGTCCATTTGAATACTTTTTTCTCAAGAAGAAATCACAAATCCTACTTTAAGAATATAAAGCAAAGTATCAGAATTTTACTAAAATAATTACCAGAGCATACTAAAAATATAATTAAATATATAATATACAATTGACTCATTATTGAGCACGAGTAATTATTCAAGCAAAGGCCATTAGTGGGTTTGGGTTGTGTGAAGACATATTTATCATAGTAACTTACTCTCTAGGGAAGTGAGTTGGAATATTGGAAGGTTGCGTCTGATAGTCCAAAAGTGTGATTGGAGAACATGATCATGACCATGTTATGTCTCACACTAGCATTGGGAACTGATCATTGTGTTCTTGATATCATATATAACCTTTTAAATATTAGTAATTGTTTTAGTGCTTGATTATCTTTGCTTATATGTATTACGAGTGTAGAGGAAAATTTGAACTCAAATCTTATATAATTAATATGTGTAAACGCCTGTTTAATGCACTAGAAATTTAAAATCTATATATAAGTTTCCGGCCAAAGTGAGATTTAAAGTTAAGTTTTAATGTAAGATTTGAGTCCACCTCATGTTGCTTAGAAAAATGTTATTCACATGTTGACCTTAAAAACTACCAAGCCTACGTGGCGTGCAGACCGAGTAATTAATAAGCTAACTACGTCATTCGCTTATGTGCGGGGCGTGCCAACTCGACGGCCGAGCTCGGCCGATGAGTAAAATTTGTTGATGTTGCGTTGGGTGCGCTGTTGACTTCTGAATCTCGCGACTGCAGCCTAGGAAGGAACACGTCTCGGCCTTCGGGTTCTAGAACCCGAAGACAAGACTGCTAGTTCTGCGAAGTTCACAAATCGTCGGCGCCGGATTCGGTCACAGTGATTATATTCGTAAGAGTATAAGCACGCCGAATCAACACTAGACTATACAGACACAAGTACTCAAAAGAGATGTATGTCTTGATGGTGAATGTGGTTCGGTCGTCAGAATGCCGAACTCTA